CCCTAACTGCTTTTTCCAAGAAAAAAAAAAAAAAAACCTTAGTGTAAAAATGTATGGTAATTGCTTAAATACAAAAAATATCTACTTAAGTAATTTATGGGTTCACTCTGCTCTCTAAACTACTTCAGACAGGACAGAGGAGAGCGATGCATTTTATGTGGGCTGGCATGAGGGGTGCCCTGCAATGCCCGAGCACCTGTTTTACCAATCCTGATGCTTAACTCAGGCAAAATGAATAGCCCCAGAGAGCGGTGCCACCCTAGTGTAACACTGATTGGAGGCCACCATTGCTTTTAACCTCATTTAGGAAAAGACACATCTCTCACTCCCAGCCGTATCAGTCCAAACAAGAGCCTAAAACCTGGAGCCCGGGTTTGCTGGACCGTGGCATGGTGAGCCAAGATTTCCAGAGGCCGGCTGGTTGGATCTGCTGTCATACCCTTCCTGGCTGGATGCGTGTCCAGCAGAGATGGGAGCAGGGCTGCTCCTCCCACCAGCAGCAGGTCGTGATCACCAGACCAGTCGCACTGTGAAACTGCAGCTGAAGAGGTCTGCTGTGCCGGCGGCCAGAGGCTGGTTTCCGTGTTGCTGGGCTGAGGCATGCACCCTTTGTCAGGGCTGGTGTAGCAGCGCTCCGCCAGCTCTGTGCCCTCACAAACATCCTCTTAGGACCAGCCCCGTGCTGTGGTTCTAAGTGTCATTGCTGACAGCACCACCATTACGTGCTGCAGCTCCAGTCCAGCCTGTCTGTATAAAACCTCCACACGAACTTTAGTCCCTTGAAGCTGTGGTATAATCTTGTAAAAAGTGTTTTGTTTGTTTTCTTTCCCTGAGGGCTTAGGTTTCTTCTGGGATTTTCTGTTTGTTTTTAAGGATGGGTGAAAGCAAACTTAACTGAAATCATATGCTGAGCTGGGCTTGGAGGGTGCTGCTCCCTCCTGTCCATGGCTGCAGCCTTTCTTTGACGAAAGCTATTCCCCTTCAGCTCCTTTGGCATAAGTACTCATGTAGTCTATTTCTGACTCATTTCAGTCAGTACCATGGGTCAGATTAATAATTTAGCATGTAGGGTTAACACAAGTTTATATAGTAACCAGATAAAGACATTGTTAATGAAATCAGCTGGTTTACAGCAGCACCTTTACAGTAATGTAAAAGTTAAATCAGAACCTGACTTGTATGAAGACATCTCCCAAACTGCCAGGTAATAAGTACTTGTTTCACAGATGAATAAACCAAGAGGCAGATGATCAAAGTCGTTTGCCCTCTGACACAGAAGAGGTGCGGGAAATAGAGATTTAAACTAAGTATAGTAATCCTTCTTTCCATAAGGTCTATTCAAACAGAGAACAGCAGTCTCTAGTAGAAATCAAGTTGAAATTACCTTGGTTTTGTGTTTAGTCATACTGTACAGTTTGTATACAGCAGTGAAGAACAATTTTGGCAGGAAAGAGGGAATTGGGAAGCTAACTCGACTTTTGTACTAACTCCTCCAAATACCAGCAACTGCTATAAGTTTCCCCTTTTAATGACTACTGCATCAGAAATACAGGCTCTGACTTGAGGAAGTGGGTCAAGTACATAACTTCTGTAACTGAATTTCAGTTGAGAGCAAGAGCAAGGCTGCAGCGTAAAGTCTTTTATTTGTGGCTGTGCAAACCTCCCTCCTGCTCTGCAAAGTGCTGCCTCTGACACCGCATTCTCTGTCTAGCGTGCACACTAACGCTACACAGAGCTTGGGAAAAATATGTTTACAGCTTTACTGAATGCAGTCTGAAGGTATGTTAATGAGTATTCTAGGCTCATGAAACTTTATAAAAACAAAACCAGGTGTATTACTAGATGAAACACACCAAATCTTTCCTTATCCTGTAACGGTCAGTTTTTGCGAAGAATGGGATACAGTCAAGTTTTAGGACTTCTTAGAAAAAGAATTGCAAGCATACACAAATAGTAACTTATTGTTAAGACTGTTCAGAGGAAGCAGTGTGTCAGTGTGAAATTTGACTGGGGGGAGGAACCTCCACCTAAAGATGAGAGCCATGTTAACGCGTAAATTTTGCATAGCTCTCATTTTGGTGTAATGGAAATGGAGGGTCTGATTATTCTGAGCTCAAAACAATAGAGGAATTGCAACTAGCTGGTTATACAGGGCCTTTCTGGAAGAGATTCTTTATCCTGCTTTCAACTAAGTTTTATTCTAATGCAGGAGCAGGAAAAGACTTTTTGGGAAGCTTTATTCTTTGGAAATTGTAGAAGGTGAAGACCGGCAGCGGTAGCTTTCAGTTAAGGCTCTATCTCCCTGCATTGTAAAGAACAGGAAGGGCGTGGCAGTCCTCTTGAAGTGTGTGTTACCCCACAATGCTAGTGCTCCTATAAAAACTGAGACTAAGGTAAAATAGTAGTGCTAACTGTCATCCTAAAGAATGAAGGATTCCAGCTTCTGTCAGTTAAAGCTTCACAAATGTAAGTGTATTTGAAGTACATTTTAAGTTCTAGAAAAGTCGTAATTTCTAAGTTGGTAGACAGAAAACAGTAATTTAAGGGTAACCAGTATCACAAGCTTCATCCTGTGGAAATATGTGCTTGATAGAGATTATGGAGCCTATCACATAGCTGGTATCCTTCCTTTGTTAATTTCGTATGTGATGGCTATTATTTTTATTGGATCAGACCTAGTACGCAAAACTAGCAGCGTGTCAAGTAAGCAAGTGTGTGATAAGTTACAAAGCATGTTAAAACTTGCTCTAAATTATGTCATTGTGTTTGATGCCACATTGCAAACTAAAAGTGATAACTGTGGAATTTCCATTTTTAATTTTTTTTTTTTAATTCAGAGTGTGAGACCCGATACTTAAATAGTACCTCTCTGTGCTTTCAGCTGAAACCGCACACTAGTTCAGCTGGCTACTTACCTTAAGGGTTAAAATTCTAGTTCTCCAGTTTGACTTCACTATACACCTAAAACAGACTTTGAACAACTGTCCACCTCCCTAAGATAAATTAGAAATGCAGGATAAAATAATTACAGATGTAACTCTGAAAACAAAGTACACTTTGTAGTAAATAAGATGTTTATATAATGCTGTTAGTCACAAATAGTTTGTGGTCTCTGCCTGCTGGTGGCTTGAATTACAAAATATTTGGTTATAGTACTTCCTTAAAATACTGCTGATCTGTACAGCTGTGCTTGACATTGTGCAGTGATCTGCACCTTCCACCTACTACATGTGGATCAGTTCCCCCAGTCAGTTCGCAATGCTGTGGCCATAGCGGTGGACCCAAAGTGTAGTGCATCCTGGTGGCAGCATTACTACCAAAACACTTTGTGATGCCAGGCCTCAATTTCTTACATGTGCCTGTTCTGAGATTCGCAAGTAGCAGGTAGTAGCAGGTTAAAAGCCACAGTCTGAGAATTAAAAGCTAAAATGATAGTGGGGTAGCTTAAAGAAAAGAGGGGAAAGAAGGAAAAATCTTACGCTGAACAGCTTACAGCAAAACCCAGAAGTGGACACAGCACACACTTCTTAAAAAAATTTTCTTACCAGTTTTTTTGGGTAGCAGTTATTCTTAGAGCAGTTCAGAAAGGTATTCAGAGGCACTAAAATTTTCTTGAAAGTAGTAAAAATGAAAGGAGCTGTATATCTCTCAAATACTTCAATATTTCATTAACCTTTTAACCTACAGATTCAAATTTTGGAAGACATTCTCTGTAAACTGTTGGCTTTTGTGATTAGAGGTTGGTTTGAAATTCAAACCTGCACTGAATTATGAGGCAATGAATTTGTGAGTACAAATGGTTGTTTAAGGATATGCTGTTCTTGACAGTTTACCTGCATGAGGTAGTACTTAGAAAAAAGACATCCAGTTCTCTAGTCCAGTTCTAGACTGTATTTTTCTCAATAGCTACAGCTGTAGCAGCTGCATAACTGTGCAGTGATCCCTTCTCAGAGTACTGAAATAGAAAAAAGGTACTTAAGGGGAAGCAGGACTAACAAAGAAAAATGATGTAGTGCCTGTAAAATAAAGATGAAAATAAGATTAGCATATTGTGAATCTTGTTGTAACTCAGCCTTGCAGCATATTTCCACATAAAAGCAATTGCTGATTCATAAAAACAAGTAGTTTAAACGATGGTAACACAAGACTGCTGGGCTCTTAGATTTGTGCATTTGCAGTGACTTAACACAAATCAGCTTTAGGCCATAAGTATTGCCTTTTACCTTAAAAAGGTACTTCAGCAATTCAGTCACAGCTGTTCTCACAACTCTGAAAGTTGAGGAGCTATGCTATACTAATTTCTTTCTCCCCTTCTCATCAGCTCATTCCTGATGGTATTTCTAAGCTCATCTGCAGGATGTTGAAGAGACTGTATCTCACCTAAAAGTCTTGAAAGGTTTCAGGGACTACTTTCCCAGCGAGAAGATAAAGCATGACTAGTATCCAGGAAGTGAGTGGTAAGTTATTGTAATAAAATCTGTCACTGCTGAAGTGAGTATAAAACATTCTTGTCAAACTCTGAAGTGTGAATTAACATCAAATACTTGCTTCTCAGTAATGTATCTGACTTACTGACTTTAATTTTGTCAGATGCAGCTGAATTAGCTCTGTTCTCTTACTGAACTTCAGTTTGTAGTCTTAGTACTACAGAGATAGTGTCTCACAAAAACTATCTGCCTTTTATAATCTTTTTCTAGAAAAATAGACTAATTGTATTATTTAATTTCTAATTTTCAATAGAATATTTATGGCTGAACTATTCACCTTTTTACTGTCACTAAATAACAATGTTATTATTAACCAGTAATTTTTTAAAGAAACCTTTTAGTCTTTGAATGACAGTCATATTTAATTTTGTTTTAGGATTTTTCCTTCTATCTCCCTGACAAACTTACCAAGTTCCTGAGAAACACAGACTGTTTTTTCTGAAGTTGTTGAAGCTGATATGAACAGGGTGGAGGGCAATTTTTTTAGCCCTGCAAAGCTACCTGGTATTTGAAATGCTGAAGAGGAAATTTCGGTTTTGCCACAACTCACGCTTCAGGCTTTTCTTGGGTCTAACTCTTATTTTAGTAATCCTTTCAGTTCTGAAAGTTAACCAGAAACAAGACTTCTTAAATCGGAGACATCTAGAGCTGACAAAAGAAGATCCTATTGGCAATGTTAACTGCACCAAGATTATAGAGGGGGATATAGAAGAAATTCAAAAGGTAAAGCTTGAGACATTGTCAGTGTCATTTAAGAAACGCCCCAGACTAACAACAAATGATTATATTAACATGACAGCAGACTGTGCCTCCTTTACCAAGACTAGGAAATACATTATGGAACCTCTCAGCAATGAAGAAGCAGAATTTCCAATTGCTTACTCAATAGTGGTTTATCACAAAATTGAGATGCTTGATAGACTTCTAAGATCTATCTATGCCCCTCAGAATTTTTACTGCATTCATGTTGACAAAAAGTCTCCAGAATCTTTTTTTGCTGCTGTGAAGGGAATAGTCTCATGTTTTGATAATGTCTTTATTTCTAGCCAGTTAGAGAGTGTTGTATATGCTTCATGGAGCAGGGTGCAGGCAGACATTAACTGCATGAAAGATCTCTACAGAAGAAGTTCAAACTGGAAATACCTGATTAACCTCTGTGGCATGGATTTTCCTATAAAGACCAACCAGGAAATAGTAGAGAAATTAAAAGCCCTTAAAGGTGAAAACAGCTTGGAAACAGAAAAAATGCCTGTTTATAAAGAAGTAAGGTGGAAAAAACACCATGAGATTATTGATGGTAAAATAAAGAACACGGGCATAGACAAACAACTACCACCTCTCAGTACTCCAATTTTTTCTGGCAGTGCCTATTTTGTAGTTAGCAGAAGATTTGTAGAATACGTATTAGAAAGCAGCAAAATACTTAAGTTCATTGAGTGGGCAAAAGACACTTACAGCCCGGATGAGTACCTGTGGGCCACCGTTCAGAGAATCCCTGAAGTCCCAGGTGCAGTTTCTTCTAGTGACAAGTATGATGTTTCTGACATGAATGCACTGGCCAGGTTTGTCAAGTGGCAGTACTTTGAAGGTGACGTGTCCAAAGGTGCACCCTACCCGCCATGCAGTGGAGTTCACGTTCGCTCTGTCTGTGTTTTTGGGGTAGGAGACCTGAACTGGATACTACGAAACCACCACTTCTTTGCTAATAAGTTTGACACAGATGTTGACCCTTTTGCAGTGAAATGTTTGGAAGAGTATTTAAGACACAAAGCTTTGTATCTGCAAAAGAACTGAAATACTACAAGCTCCTGTTACAAAACATAGGTGCAAATAATATATAGCTGTGTACTTTAGCATGTAACACCGATGGTGTTGATGCTGATGATGGGTATAAGGGTTCTGACCATGTTGGTAAGGTGGTGATGACGCCCTCCCTGCATTGTCCATAGACAAGGGGGAGAGAAGACATATCTCAAGTGAAGATGGGGATGCCTTGTATTGCACACTGAGGCTTGAAACTTTGAGTACAAAATCAAAGACAGCAATTTTTGGAAGGCCAACTATTTGGAATATTTATTATCTAAAAGGTGTAATTAATGGACTTCCTTTGGCTAAACTATTTAAGACTTGGAAAATGCCTGTTGTTCATGGTTATTCCTCAGTTTTTTTCCCATGAATGTAATGCTAGCTGGAAGGGAAAGATGAAGAGCAGGGGAGGAAAAAAAAAGGGAAAAAAAGCAGCTGGACTGCACAGACTTCATTCCCAGTACTGAAAGGTCTCAGGAAAACAACATTAGAACTGATCTGAAAACTGTACAAAAGGGAATATACCAAAGCCAGCTGTCATCATTTAACTTAAATCTGATTGCTGTAGTTCTGTAGTATGTAATTCTTAATGCTGCTACAAATTTCATCTTCAGCATGGAGTATTAAGGACTTGTGTTTAAATTTTTATAGCCAAATCTTGATTTTGTACTCTTAAACCCTCCTGATAATGTGATATAAAGTTTAAATGCTAGTTTGTAATTACATCTTCTCAGGGAAACTTCAGTTTTGTGACTGATGAGGCTAGACTTGTAATTTTACACTTCCTGCTGTATCAGGAGTCTTGCTTTTGGATGCAAAATGACTCAAGTTTCTCAAAAACTTAGAAGAACTGCAGTGGTATCTGAAGGTAACTGATGGAACTGCTGGTTTCTGCTTTCTGTCAAGCTCAACTTGCATTCCAGATTCTCTTAACATTGAGTATGCAAAATAAAGTTTTTTTTCTAAATGGTATCGCCTCTTCCTGCAATTAAAGTCCTTCCAAAAGCACCACCAAAAAAACCTAATGATGAAAACCTAAAATGTTTTTAATGTAGGTTGCCAGACACAACTGAAGCTGCAGCTGAGACAAGTCCTGCCTTTCCTCCATATGTTCATTCATTCATGTGTCTGTGCTTGTTTAGGTTTAGCTGGTGCAGCTGATTTTTATTTACTTTTTTTGGTAGAAGGGAATGGAAGAAATCTGGATGAGTTTTGTTCCAGGTTAGGTCCCTGCTTAGTTTTGCTGCTGCAGTGTGGCACAGAAGCATGGTGATGAGAGAACAGGACACTGTGAGGGATGATATTATTTCTTTCCATGTCAATTCAGGTTTGTCATGCATAGTTACTGCCAGGTGTCTGCCATCTCACTCCTGAGATGACAGTGGAATGCACTATAGGCACTAACAAATGGCAAAATAGACTAAATTTTTTGTTTCTTGAACTGTTGCTGTGATGGCAGCGTGTGTTTCTTAGAAAGGTAGTTTGTCATGAAGTTTCTCCAAAGGTGTGCCCCAGTACTTGGAGGTTAACATAATTAACTTACTGTTGATCATGGAAATAAGGAGGCAAGCAATTTAATCTGAAATAGGGCCTATTCTTGCAAACCCCTGCCTTCAAAACCACCTGAAAGCTGTTTAGGGACTCTTCAGAGACTCTCACATGATGCATAAAGAGGTAATTAAAGCCTGTGAGCTGAGTGGAGGGAAATACCCCATCTACCCCACCCTTTGGCTTTTCTACAAGAATGCTCTTATAGACAGTTGTGCTCTACCACCTTTGCAGAAGCTACAACAAGGGGTAACTTCACTGCATATAGTATTGGAATATTCCAGGAAGTCATGTTATAGTTTTAGCAGAAAGGAATCTTTGTTTTTAAGAATTTCCACCTAAAGACAAGCTATGTGAATAGCTTCTATGAGACCAGAACTGGTAGTTCAAATAGACTGAAAAAGCAATAATGAACTCCTCTGCACAGGATGGGCTGCTGACTCAGTGGCTTGAAATCTGCTAGACAGCTGGAGCATCAACTGCTTTACCTACCTATTCCAGCCTGCTTTGTACTTCCTCATTTATATAATACAATTAATGCCTGTCTGTATCCCTGTTGTTAATGATACTGCTAGTGAAGGTAGACAGTGAAGATGCTACTTGACTAGGTGCTCCAAATGTTACTGTTTGGACAGAATCAAGAGAGATCCTGTGTTACACTCACTGTATGTTCTGTTCTGTACAGAAGGAAAAATAGGACACCATTGGTGTTTAGCATATATTCTTCATAAGATAAGGAGGAATTTCTTCTGGTGAAAGTGAATCTCAAAAAAACCCCACCTCCCTAAAACTGACTTGTAGAAGAGACACCCTGATCTAGTAGGTTTTAAATTGTCTAGAAAGGCAGTTTCATGAAAAGAACTCTTAATAAGTTGAACAAGTACTGAATGTGCCAAAGGAAATTGGTGGATTAATTAAAGGTATTGCAACTACACATACAGAGAAGACACCACAGCCAGCTATAATGAGTAGAGAAAGCAATCTAACTTATATTAGTATTTCACTGAATCTGCCAAGAAACTTAGCCAAAATAATCATCATCCTAGAATCGAGCAACTTTGTGGCACCAACAAAACTCAAATAAAATCTAGATTATATCCCTTACTGATGTCAGCAGTTGGTTTTTAATAACTTGTCTCAGTTTTCTGCTAGTTGTTCATAGCACTGGAGTAAAAGTACTAGCTTGAGTGAATATGAAAGAAAAATGCTTCACTGATACTGCAGCAACAAGCTATCTTGATGCTGTGCTGAAGATGCTGGCATCTTGTTATGAATAGATTAAAAACTGAATGATTGCATCAATGCTTCAGCCATTAATTCTGAATACAGTGGTGCTCTAATACAAGAAAAGTGCTGGTTTACTCTGATCACCTTCGGGTTCCCTCTCAGGGAAGAAGGCAACACATAGACCTCTACCATCATTGAACTTTGAAGCTGGACAGATGATAGAGCAGTTAAAATCGAAGCTGTGATGGTGGGTTCAGCTACAGTGCTGCCCAGGCCACTCAGAGTACCTGTTTTTTCCAGTCCCTGCTGGATAAACCCACCCTTGCACTGTGACCTTATCATCCTTTGGGCAGCTGGGAAGGAAACTGCTTTGCATTCTGCCTATCGAATAACTTTTTTTTTTCTTTTTTTCTTTTTCTATGTTTTAAAGCTGGTTCAGTTTCTCAGTCCAGCTCACCAGTGCTGGGAAGGAATGAGTAGCCGGTGAAACCATTGCTGAAGTTACACATATGCTATTCAAAATCACCTAACTTGTCTTTTAATTTTCCATAGCAGAATTTTCCAAAAGTGCTAGTGCATCGGAGGCTCTGCTCTAGTTCAGTCCCCACCTAACGCTTAAGCATTTTGAGTGGCCCTAATAATAATAATTTGCTTGGTTTACTGATAACAATTGTGGTAACCAAGTATTCTGTATCATTAAGAGTCACCAGCCTGAAAGCCTTTAAGCTCAAAGGCTGATTTGATCCCAGAAACCTAGTACTTGTACTTTCATCTCCTTCCTGCCTTAGGTTTGGTTTGATGGGAAGCATGGGTTTTGCTCTCTTGCTGCTTCCTATCTAGCACAGCAGAAAATGACGAAATCTTCAAGACTTCCTCATTCAAAATGTTTCTACAGTAACATTCAAAAGAAAGTCAACGAGAATCTCCACCCTTTGCTGGATGCGGTGCGGGGGCAGGGGTGGGGTG